TGATGCTTTGGATAGATACTAGATCCCATTCATCTAATTACCCAATACCAAGCGTAGTTATATAGAACCACTCGGGGTTAAATGAATCATAAATAGCCGAAAAATTAGGCCACTATATCTCACACTTTCACTTGTGTTAACTGCCGCCTGGCATAGTTTCAGAACTTAATCACGGGTTAGCAAGAACGATGATACAATAGTCCCTTCCCTAATCACGCATCCAACATCTGCCCAATCAGAGATCGCCACTTTTACCCATTTTATCAATCCTTTACTGGGTAATCCACAAACAGCTTACGGTATACCAAAACGAATTAGAGTCCAGCACCTTGTTCATACAAATATTGTCCACCCCAAGGTAAGCAGAAATATATGAATCCTTCATTAAAACTCCTAAAAGTCGTTCATCCAACAGGTTCTCAAGTCATATCTGCCACTAGTACTAGGATTGAGCAGTGAATTTCCAATAGCTTCAACTTCGTTCCATCTCGAAATTCCCTTATCATAGTCCTACTCAAGTGCCTCATGAATTTCCTCCACAACTACTAGGATCTAGAGAAAGTTCCACTTTGTCCAATCAAATCTTGAAAGCTTCATTAGTCTTAAACCTTTCCTCGACATTTAGGCTGCCAACTATTCCGCGTCAAAAGCTCCATTTACGCTCAACAATCCCAACATTCTCCAACTCAACAGGTTTCAACCACTTCAACTCGAGTCTCTTCGGATCTTACGCATACTCGTGGCGGCTCCACCATGGTTTTATCCATCGCATATGCAGTCAGTGAGATGGCCAGGCTCAACGAATGAATACTACGATAGTAGAAATCAGGCTAGCAACACGCACATATGAGAGAGAAAATAATTGATGGTGATGTTTCACGGTAGGGACAAGAATCAACCAGGATCTGATACCAACTGTAACACCCCGTACATATACGTCTAGAATAATATGCAGTGATATTAAATATGGTACAAAGAAACATACAAAAATAGTTGGAAAAGACAAGTAATTAAAAATATATACAATGCATCTCCAAATCCAGACGTATACAACAAGCTTGTTTTCAACAGTGCACAGCAGAAAGATAACATCAACAAAGGTCTTCCTGCCATCTGCTCGCCCGCAATCTCCAAAACCGACCATCTAGCAATTCTACCACTTAAAATTTGTTCCTAAAAAATAATAAGAGGATTGGGGTGAGATTACTAAATCTCAGTGAGTCTCCCTGTCTTAAGGGTTCGCTCGGTTCTATAGGATGCATACATCAAAACAGATTTGTCGAGAATTTGGGGTTTACCTCACGGCTATGTACAAATACACAATCAAGTACACCATCATTGGTAGTCCCATAACTAACCAATAAGGCAAAAACACAAGTGCATAGCCAAACACAAACCAATATGCAAAATCGTACCCGTGTACAAGGAATCCAGAAGTAAGTTCTACCTTCCTATCTAGGCTACGCATTTCATACCCTCGGTGAGTTACTTCCGTGCATCACATCAAGAGACTTGTACTAGCACACTGCATGATGAGACAGATGAGTCCTAAGTGGAATTTCTTTCGTTACGAGTTATAGCGGTGACATTACCTACGTGGCGTCACGGCCACGTCAATCGTCAAAACACACGTGTGAGCGAACACATCAAGCATAGTACAAAGACGCCATCTTGACAACACGGGCCCACCGGGAAAAATCCTAGTGGTATTGCCTATGTGGCACCACTAGAGGTGAGTTAAAAATCCACAAAGTGATATTGCCTACGTGGCATCACAACCCTACCATACCAAGAACGCGATGCAATTAACTGCTGATGGAACGTCGCACAAGGACCCACACAAGCACATCACAATGATAGCTAAGGTGTGTATGATTTACCAAGAACGTCGATAGGATCCAACACCTCACCGCGTCGGTAATAAATGTCATAAGCGCTTTACCACCTTCTAGTCTAGGTCTACTTCGATTCACACATATGTCAAACAATCACATCAAGCCACCAAGGCAAATCCATCCGAACATTCAACCGGAACAACAAGAACAAGTAATGATCACATAATTACATTTTATCATAATGCATTTCTCAACACTTTGCATATAACAATCATACATATTTATGATTTAGAAAACAAGTGATCATAGTACAATATCATAGCATTATCCATACAAAGTGATTTTAAACATATCCATACATATCCATGTCATAATCGGATAAGTGATCACACCAAGCTTATATGTTTTACATAATACGTTTCTCAACAGTCACTTAGACCATGGAGGCGTTCGGTACACGCTATGGTATGGAACTCCACTCAAGGGGTTAAATCAATACATTTTTTGTCCAGGAGGGCACGCTGAGTGGAACCTCCCGCGCTAAGCGCGTTCTGTAAAATAAATAATTTAAAGTTCTAGGCGAGCGCGCTAAGTGTAGCCTCGCGCGCTAAGCGCAGACTGAGTTTTTCAGAAAACTAGAACTGTAACAGTTCTGTATTGGGTTCTCAAAACCCCATTTTACACTTCAATCATATTACTCCCAACATGCCAATATGAATTTCATAAAATACACATGCTATTCAGTATTAAGATCAAACAAACATCATGAATTTCTCACTCTAAACCCTTATTCCCAAACACGCAATTTCCCAACTAAACCCCATTTTCTATCTATGAGACTCGTCTTGCATCAAAGGAGGTCAAGATGATGAACACACTGCATTAGAGTTTCATTCTTGATCAAAGATTCACCTTCAAGTTCCTCAAACTCGTAACACCATTTTCTCTCAATTTCTGCAAGAATCACCAATCTTCAACTGTGTTTTTCTCCTTCAATATGGAACTTATGAACATGGAATCATATATCAAAATGAAGTAAATTTCGTATAGATTTCAGAACTTCAAGAATTTCTTAAAGCGGAGTTATGAGTAAAAAATTATGACTTAATTAGTGAGAGGTGTCCATGGAGTACGAAAATAAAGTTTTGGTGATGAGAGATATGACTTCTTCTTTCTCTCTCTCTACTTCTTATTCACCAAAATCAGATTTTTGAGTCTTTGTCCAAACAAGATCTTATGATGGCATGCAAGATTATTTAGTGACATTAATAGTCATTACATATCAACCCAACTATTCTCATATTTAGAAATATGGGATATTACATAAAACATGAAAAACATATGAATTTTTTAGTTTAGCAAGCATGTAACCAGTTACTCTTTATTAGTATCCGGTTACTACCATTTCAAATCGCTGATTTTCAAGTTAGTGTCGATCTGTGACATATTTAGGTATTTTGTGTATAACTCGTACTACCCTGAAAAATTGAGAAGATTTAAAATAGAACCTACACATAATCAGTTACGCCAATTAGATAATCGATTACACACTTTGCAATTTTTTTCGCTTGATTACCTCATTCCTTATTATTTTTGTAGATAAACTTGAATTTGCAATATTTTTCCATGTATAAATGCTATGAATTGTTAAGTTTATAAATAAATTATGTTTCGCAAAAACTTATAGTTCAAACAACAAAATATAAATAATAGTTTTATTTAATTTATTTTTATAGAATACATTTTCTATTCACAATACAAAAATTAGGAGTGCAAATAAATTCACAAATAAAAATAAAAAATGTTTTTCCAATGCTAGGAGTCAAACCTAGAATTCATCACATTAAATTTGTTAAATATACTACTTTGGAGATTATATTATGCATCTACAAGTTTATATTTATATATTATATTACTATTTTTGTTTTTTAATATACTAAAATTACTTACATTTAAAAAGAAGTTAATGAATGTCATAATTACTTGAATAATTTATAACAAAAGATGTAGACATAATTTTTACCGTTTTCGAATACTTAGATAAATTGTAAATTTTATAAAAATAAAATCAAAATATTTTTGAAGTTTATATAAGGAATTTGTCCAACATATTATAAAATACTTTATATATAATTGATTTTAAGTAACTTCTCATATAACAACATTATTTTAAGATGATTTTTGGCAAAAATATATGATTTTTAATATGTTAAAAATAAATAAATTATTGAATGTCAAATATATTGTTTCAATTGATAACAAATGATATTGAAATAATGCAAATACTTTTGAGTAAACTTTAATATAAAAAATTTTAAATATAAAGTTAAATTATGAGTTTTTTAATAGTATTTCAAAAAAGACCGATTTAAGTGTAATGTCTTATTTTTTATAGTCATGCTTAATGTCTTTTAATTGGTAAACTAGTGATAGAGTATTTGATTAGTAAAATTAATTAGAAGCAATAGCATGAAGTTATAAATTGACTTAAGTGTAAAGAGATGAGGAGTTATATCTCAGAAAGTTTTATAAACTAAAATTTTTGTGAGTAACTCACATTTTCTCTTCTCCTCCTTTTGCCAATTAAGAATTTGAAAGAAAGTGTCAACAGAGAAGAGAAAACGATTCATAATATATTATTAAATTAATTTATTTAAAAATTTTAATAATTAATAAATATTTAAACTATTGATATTAAATATGAAGTATGAGTTAATGAATAAAAGTGTAATGTGTGATATAGAATTTAAATGAAAGTGTAATATATATATATATATATATATATATATATATATATATATATATATATATATATATATATATATATATATATATATATATATATATATATATATATATATATATATATATATATATATATATATATTTGGTCAATTAATTATAATTTATTTAAATATTAATTATAATTATAAAAAATAATTCAAAAACTAGATGTGTATTAAAAATTAAATTTACAATCATACAATGCAAGAATAGGTTCTATTTAAATATCAATGACAGTTTCTATAATTTTGAGAGAGGTGTTGCTATGAGTGTTGAAACTTTAGCCTTTTTAGTTCAATTTGTAACATCATTGAATGCTGAGTAGAAAGAAAGAAAAAAAAAGTTATATTTGTAAATTATATACAAAACCATCGGCTAGTAATGCTATTTATTTATGTGGTTAGTAGATGTATATATGACTATTAAATGATGTTTGGTTTAATGAAACCTTCTAAATTTATTATTATATTTTTTAATAATATAAGTAATTACTCCTTCCGTTTTACAATTTTTTCCTATTTTTATTTGTCTTAAATTATTTATTTCTTTAAAATATTAATGTAATATTTATTATTTTTTTTACTAAATTACTCTTATTTATTATATTTTAATTCATATAATTATTCTATTATCTATTATTAATAAGGTTAATTTAATAAATGAGATTTATTTTATTATTAAAATTAATATAATTAATTATTATCTTAAAAAGTGTGAAAAATCTATAAAAAAATACACATTATAAAACAGAGGGAATATCTAATATCAATTACATAATTATCATATTTGAAAAAATACTATTGATAAGATTCTAGAGAGTGTAATGTATAGAGGATGGCAAAATAGAAAACTAAAAATACATTTAGTAAATCTTATGCTATAGGATTCTTGTTTATTTTGGTGACTGGATCTATCTTTGCTTGTACAGTATTTTTGAATTAATATATTCCTTGATTTGATTTTAAAAAAAGTAAAAGAAAATTTAAAAATTGAAGAAAAAAAATGAATAACCTTTTAATCCATCTCATAGGTGAAAAAAATTAAAACACATAGGTAGGAAATAAAAAATAAAGAATGTAATAGAGAAATATCTATATATGCAATTCTCTTATCTATGGCATGGTGGCACCTACATAGGCAAAGAATTAAAAAGAAAAAAATATAACACAAAGACAAAGATAAAATATAAGAAATTAATTGACACGTATCTAATCATTGTTTCAATGTGAAGAGGAAATAGAGAAATATATATTACTAAAAAAATGATATTTGAGAAAAAGTTTTTACATCAGGTATAAAAATATATGATATAAAAAATAAAATTAAAAACATTTTACATCAGGTATAAAAATATATGATATAAAAAATAAAATTAAAAACATTTTATATCAGGTATTTATTTGCAATGATATAAATAATATGAAAAAAAAATATTTTTCGCTATCTATTACATCGGGCCATTTAATCCACCGATCTAAAAGGTTTTGTGAAAAAAACACGGTGACAGTTTTGTAAATAACAAACCAGATGGCAGAATTGTAAATAAAAAACACGCCAGATATTACATCGGTTCCTGCATTCCACCCATGTAAAAAAGTTTGTGGCACATTAGTAATATAAAAAATAGGCTAACCCTTACATCGGGTCATTTATTCCACCGATGTAAAAAACATGAAAAACCTTACATCGGCCCTTCCGTTAAACCAATGTAAAAAACCTCAAATTGTAACTGCTATATCGGGCCAATGCTTGCACCGATGTAAAAAACATAAGCGCCTACGAACCCTTACATCGGACCAATGCTTGCACCGATGTAAAAACTAATATATATAATTTGGAAATAAACCCAGACTGCGAATTATTTCGTCATTGTTCCACTTCTCAGTCCGTCTCGCCTACGAACGCACCCTCGCTGCTACTCTGTCCGTCTCTGCCCGTATCCGCCCGTCTCGCCTACGCCGTCTCCGCCCGTATCCTCCCTCCGCCGTCTCCTCACAGATCCGCCGTCTCCTCGCAAATCCGCCGCCGGCTGCACGAAGACGGAGGTGTTTCTCCAGCCGTCACACTGCCGCCGTCTTCGCCGTCTTCGAAACCTCCTCCGCCGTCCAACTACGATTCAGGTACAAAATTTTCTATTTTATTCAACTTTATTGTATATCTATGGATTTCTAAGAGTTATATGGCAGTGATTGGTGGTTTTTTGGGTTTCTCTAGTAACCATTTTATCAAGAGATTGGAAGGTAGTAATGTTAATGGTTGGATTGATTCAATGAGAGCTGCTTCTCCAACTCGTGTCAAATCTTCGAAAAATTACCAAGAAAAATGTTCATGGATTGTAAACATATATATAAATATATATAAATTTTTTTGATAAAATTTAATAAATTCAATTTTTATTATATTGCTATTATTTTCGTCTTACTCTGTTATTGTTATTATGTTGTTGTTTACAGCTTTATCATCCTTCAGCGCTGAAACTATTTGATCAAATATTGTTTTGTTCTAAAGGAAAACAGATTATGTTTTTTCTCGACTACGATAGAACTCTCTCTCCTATTGTTGCTGATCCAGATAAAGCTTTCATGACTAGAAAGGTTTTTTTTTCATTCCTATGATTTATAAAGTGTATGCTTATGATTTTTTTATTAATTTGGTTATTATTATTTTTTAATGTTATAAAAACAGATGAGAGGAACACTTAGGGATGTAGCAAAATATTTCCCTACAGCAATTGTGACCGGAAGGTGCAGAGACAAGGTACATTTTCTTCAAAAACTAAAAATAACACAATTTCTAATTAAATAATTAATTAAAATTCTCATCACAATGTTTATTTCAGGTATTTAACTTCGTAAAATTAGGAGAGTTGTACTATGCAACAAGCCATGGTATGGACATCATGGGACCAACAAAAAACTAAAGTGCTGAAAAAGTGAAATAATTAATTTTTGTCACTAGTTAATATTATCTTGAAGTTTTCTCTTAAGTTTTGTTCTTTCTAATTAGCTTTGTGAGTTCTTGCTTTGTTCCAGTGTATAAGTGATAGTAACAAACCAGTTTTGTTCCAACTTGTAAGTCAATTTCTATCGATGATCGACGAGGTTCGATTTTATTTGCATTTTTCAACACATAGGTTATTAACTAATAACTGTATTGTCAGGCAATGTGATTTTGGTGTTGTCTACCGAAGCTATAACTCATCTACTTGTGGATTTTATATTGGTAATTCAAGTTTGGAAAAAGACGTATAAATAGTTGAATATTTTTGTATGTTTTGTGAAGAATATGTATTTGTAAGTTTCTTGTGAGTTTGTTTGTTGTGATACAATACAAGTTTGCAATACAATTGTTCATTTTGTAAGTTTATTTTGAAAAATATGAAAATATCGACCTAGATGTGGTCTATGTGATGTTGGAAAGCTATGAAATCTATATAGCGACATAAATATAGTCTGTGTAATATTGGAAAAATATGAAAAAATGGGTATCAATTTTTTTTTTTTACAGGGAAACATCCAGAAAATAAATAATTTATTCTAAAAAAATTTCTTACATTTTACATCGGTTATTACTCCCAACTGATGTAAAAACTTTCAAAACTGTATATATTACATCGGGCTTAGGTGACAATCGATGTAAAAAAGGGACTTTTTACATCGGTCTACACGTTTAACCGATGTAAAAAGTTGCGTCAATTTTTTTAAAATAATGTTATAATTGTTTTTTACATCAGTCTTAGATCACAACTGATGTAAAAAAGGGACTTTTTACATCGGACCCATAACCGATATAAAAAGTCTCTAATTTACTATATCGTCTGACTTTACATCGGACCCAGAACCGATATAAAAAATCAACTTCACCCGATATAAAAAGTCATTTCTGCACTAGTGATAATTGTGAAATATCTTCGTATGCAATTCTCTTATGCATGGCATGGTGGCACCTGCAAAGGAAAAGGCAAAGAATTAAAAATATATATATATAATACAAAGGCAATCGCAAAGGCAAAGAATTAAGAAAAAAAATTAATACAAAAGCAAAGGCAAAGTATAAGAAATTAGTTGACAAATTTCTAATCATTATTTCAATATGTGAAGAAGAAATAGAGAGTAATGATGAAAATCAAGAACGTGAAGAAGCTTTGCAGTTTTGATAAAAAACAAATGAACTGCTAAATATATATTGAATGAGCTAGTGGTAATGGTGGAGTAGTTATAATGGAATATGTAGTTGTTTTTTGAGATTTTTTTTTGCAATAATTAAATTTTGAAAAAAAAATCATAAATAATCATGTTTCGGAGAAAATTACGTAAATAATTATGTTTTAGAAAATTCCACAAAGGAGGAGCCAAGTGAGATGGCGCATACACTGGTCCATTTTCTCTAGGCGTCATCTCACTTGGCGCATGCTCTCTCTTTTAGCCAAGTGAGATGGCGCATGCACTCTAAAAATGAGAGGAGGCGCCATCTCACTTGACTCTTAGGGCAAAATGTATTTTATAAATAAGTCCTTCGTTTCTGCGTCATTCTTCACACTTTCTCGCCCCTTCTTCTTATTTTTTCTCTGTTATTTGCGTCATGACATCTCCCATGATTTTTACCAGAGATGGTTAGGTTATTTTCTCGGCCACCAAACCTCCGATGAAAATGAAATTTTGGCACATTCACTTCATGGAGCATCTGAAGAGAGAGTTGATGCGATGGCTAGAGGGAGACATTGAGGATGGGGAACAAATTAGAAGGATCCAGCAAAGAAGAACATCCACCTCACTTGCAACAAGAAGACCTAATTTTTGGTTGGAGGAAGTCAAAACAGACAGAGACGTAATATTGATGATGCATGAGTCAGATGAAGTTATTTTAACAGTTGTAACTTCTTAGACGTTTTATCGTGTTTTTATTTGTTGTTTGCGCAAAGTTTGTTGTAACAAATGCTCTTAATGAAAAACCGTAATGTTTATAACTTAAAAAAGTAAAGATGTTTTGTAATATAATTTTTATGTGGTTGAACTAGTAGCCCGAGTCGGACAATTTTTGCGATTGTGTCCGACCTGACGACATAAACCACACTTTCTTTCCAGCTTGTCAAGGGAGTTTGTTTCAGTTGTGATGCGCTTGCTTTTGAGACGACCCTGTTTGTTCCTTCGCATTTGATCATTGTGCCATACTATTTCGCCATGTATGCAGGCCAATAATCAGGTTTCACTACCAAAGATAAGTTGTTGTTGTATACGTTGAGCAATGTTTCAGACTTGTAAATGGGAGATAGAAGTTGTAATGCGTCTTGATGAGTATAGGCACATACCACAATGACATGAGAGCAAGGCATACGAAAGTCTTAAAACTTGCCACAATCGCACCAACGAGAAGGTAGTATAACCATATACTCTTGTCTTGGCAGCCCCTCGTTGTGGTCGATTGTCTCTTTAACAATAAAGTTGTGGCTGTGTCAGTCGAACCGTATAACCAAATGGGTGTTGGCTTTGGCACTTTATGCCTTAATATACTTCATGTAGCTTTCACTTCATAGTTGTCCCGATTGCAACACAACATTCCATATTTCACCTCTTTTGGCAAACAACAAAGCCATTCTAAAATATGTTGATTTAACCAAAGCAGTTACTGGGAGGTTTCGTATGCCTTTGAATACCCCATTCCTGGATTCAATCAGATTTGTTGTCATGTGTCCCCATCGTTGTCCATTGTTGTATGACCTAGTCCATTTCTCCATCGGAATGTTATCGATCCACCTACCTGCATCCGGATTTGACAATCTGATCTCGTTGCGATAATTTTTGAACATAGGTTGTGTTAATGCATACCCTGCATTCATAACCGCTTTCCTAAGAGCTTTGTCTATGATCTCCCTCGTGAAATTTTGGACGATATGTCTAATGCAATAGACATCCGTAGAAGGAGGTTCATGTCAACCGTTTGCAGGATTGTTGTATGCACTCTCAATAAATGCATGTCTATCAGAGATCAAACAGAGATCTGGTTAAGGAGCCATGTGTGTTCAAAGATTCTTGAGAAAGAAGCTCCAAGCACCACCAGTCTCTCTCTCGACTAGAGCAAAGGCAATTGGGAAAATGTTATTGTTGCCATCTTGTGCAATTGTCATCAATAGCGTGCATTTGTATTTCCCATACAACCAAGTTCCATCAATTTGAATAATAGGATTGCATGACGCAAACACTGTGATGTAAGGTTGAAAAGCCAAGAACACTCGACTGAATATTCCATTTTCGGTGACTTGACTACCATCTGGGGCGTACGCCGGTAGTGTTTCCATAATGTAAACAGTACCCAGAGAATAAGTCTGAAGTGCATTCAGGTAGCGAGGAAGTTCTTTGTATGACTCCTCCCAGTTTCCATATACCTTTTCAATCGCCTTGGTCTTTGCTAACCACGCCTTTCGGTATGACGGAGTATAGTTAAATACCGTAGTGATGTGAGAGATTATGGTTTTCACCTTCAATGATGGATCATTGCTGACGAGAGGTAGGATTTCTTGACATATGAGATCATAATTTAGTTTCTGATGATCCTGTAATCACCTCTTAATTTGTATGATGCAGTGAGCTTGAACATACAATCTGGGTGGACACGCCTGAGCTTGTACCTTTCTGGATTTACACGATCTACCTTAAAATCGACCGAGTCGAGCATGTGAAACTTTTTATGGCTCGGATATAATCTTCTCTATTACGAAATTTGTCTTTCTCTATTACATGCATGCAGAGATGCCTTCCCTAAGACTGTCAACTAGCTTGCACCTACACTACAACCCATGCCACCTCTAATTCGCCAACTGGGATGGCGACACCTTTCAATTTTATACTCATTCGCCAAGTTCAATGGCGCCTCCCTACACATCCAATCATATTACATGCATGCAGAGACGCCTTCCACAAGGATGCCACCTAGCCTGCACCTACACTGTAACCCATGCCACCTCTAATTCTCCAACTGGGATGACGACACCTTTCAATTTTGTACTCATTCGCCAAGTCCAATGGCGCCTCCCTACACGTCTAATCGTATTACATGCATGCAGAGATGTCTTCCCCAAGGCTACCACCTAGCATGCACCTACACTGCAAGAGTGACACTTATCATCTATGCATGCACCCACCAACCACCTCATTTATTCACTCTGTGATAAAAATTTTCCTATAAATACAGAGCCTCACATACTTCTTTTACGTCAACAATCATCTCACTCTCTGCTACAAACTCTTTCATAATCTCAGACAATCTCAACTATGGCTCTTCTCACAATGAGCGATTCTCACAGAGACACAAGGGACAACATTGCAGCGTTTGTAAGTTTCATGTATACTTATAAAAATTTTATACTTCTATTAATGATTTATACATCTTATAGACTCTTACACTTTTTACATTTTGAATTTAGGATACTAAAATATTCAAAATCCGGTCACACAACTACCTTGCTCCCGATCCGTTGATCGTGCCCTATCTCGAATATGTAGGTTTCAGAAATGTTATAAATATCTACAATTGCATGATTGATTCAAAGTTCATACTTGCAATATTGGAAAGATGGAGACCAGAGACCCACACATTTCATCTACCAATAGGTGAATGTATCGTCACACTAGAGGACGTGTACATGTTATTGGGTCTCCCTGATGATGGTAAGACGGTTAACGGGTCGGTTCAACAGCCCAATTCTCTGTGCAAGGAATTGTTGGGCAAGGATATGGTTGAAGGTGGTGGTGCTAGAGGCCAGGGTATACTACTTACTGAACTCAAAAATCATTGTACGACTCTGGAGTTGAACGAAAATTCCTCCAAGCTAGCTAAGGTAATAAAAGCTAGAAATTATATAATGATACTTTTTGGAACCTTTTTATTTCCTGAAAGTATGGGAAATAGTGTAAATTTCATGTA